GGGTTTCCTGGTTGACCTCAACAGATAAACTGAGATGATAGTCTTAGTTCAGAAATGATCTCTCTCCTTTTCATTACAGAGGAAAAAAAAAAAAAAGTAACTCTACTAATGTGTTTATCTAATTCTTTTTCCTTTGGGGGGAGTGGTTTTTTTTAAGACAGGGTTTCTCCTTGTAGCTTAGCTTTGGAGCCTGTCCTGAAACTCTGTAGAACCAGGCTGGCCTTGAACTCAGAGATCCGCCTGCCTCTGCCTCCCGAGTGCTGTGATTAAAGGCGTGCACCACCATGCCCAGCATTATCTAATTATTCTTTAATTATTAATAAAAAGTTATTGTCAATAAAAAGTTGAGTTAGATATTGGGGTAAGAACCTGAATGATGAGAAGCAGTGGAGAAGTGACCAGTGACCGCCTATCTCTTTTGTTCCTCCATCCAAAAGGGCCAAGGGCCCAGACCCTCCCTCAGACCTGCCCTACTACTTCCTGTGTCTATCTGTCCTCAGTCCTCCAAAACCTCTATGGTTAATTTTGGTCAGCTAGTAGCTAGCTCCGCCCTGATTCAAAACAAACTTTATTGTCAGTCTTGGGAGTGTCAGAATGCAATTAAAGTATCACACAACACTTTACCATAGTGAAACCTGATGGACACACATCAACCAAATGACTGGAAATCACAAAATGGCACTATCAACTACATGGTCCCTGACATGTGCTGTGGGATGTCCTGTATGCTGTAAATATATGTTGCTATATGCTGTAAATATATGTTGCTATATGCTGTAAATATATGTTGCTATGATTGATTGATAAATACAATGCTGATTGGCCAGTAGCCAGGCAGGAAGGATAGTGTAGGCAGGAAAAGGAGAATTCTGGGAGGTGGAAGGTTGAGAGGTAGGGAGACACTGCCAGCCGCCACAAGGAGAAGCATGATGTAAGATATCGGTAAGCCACGAGCCACATGGCAAAGTATAGATGTATAGAAATGTGTTAAGATATAAGAACAGATAACAAGCAGCCTGCCACGGCCATACAGTTTATAAACAAGCATCTCTGTGTGTTTACTTGGGGGATGCGAGTAGGAGAGATTTGTCCTGACCTTTGGCCAGGCAGGACCAGGAAAACTTCAGCTACAGACATGAAGCATGGAGAAAAAACACATCACCCAGGTAGCATCCTTCCCAGTGTAAAAGCTCAGTCTATCCATGAGAAACTGCTATGAAGGACACTGTACAGAGCTGAGCAGCTTATTACCAAGTGTCATGATCAAGACACTAGACTAGTGAACACTCTTAAGGTGATACAAGGGGAATATTAGGGCAAGGTGGGGAGGCCCCCCACCCCCAAGTTCTGGTTTATTCATCAATCTTGAATCTATGATTTCTTAGTCCTGATCATGTTCCTATGGAGATATAAGATGTGGATGAACATTAAGGGTAGCAGAATGAAGGGTACCCACAAACTCCACACTATATTTACTTCCCCATGTCCAAAATTATCCTCAAATTCAGATAGAAAAAACAGTTGGGAGGCAGAGGTGCTATGAAGGGAGAAATCCAAGGAAGACCAGACTAATGATCTTTCAACAAGCCAAGACTTAGGACATAGCTCACTCAGACACACTGGTTTAACACTTTTATTTTTAACCCTGCTTTGGTAGTACAAAATTCATAAAAAGTACAAACCAGACAGTTAAAAATACATTTGACACTGGAAACAGTGAAAATTTTTCTTTACAATTTTTTTTTTACATCAAGGTGGCAAGTGACTCCTTTGTCACACCAAGAAGCTACCCGTCATTAGTGTTGTGGACAGTGAGCTTGTCCCGGATCCCCAACCCTTCTCAGGAAGAGGAAGAAGGTGGTACCCATAAACGTCAGGGGTGCTGGGAACACTCAAGATTCTCACCGGACGGTATAAACCAGTACAACGCTTACTTACTGAAAAGTGTTGAATGCTGAATTTTTGGCATCTCTGGAAGCCAGTCACCCAACTGCTCAAATATTTAAAAATGTTTAAAATGTACTCTTGGTATATAAATACGATTTTAAATATCTTTGCGTATTCTTGTTTTTTTATTGCTATAGAAAGTGCTCTCTAGAGTGAATAAAATTAAAAAAATAATTAAAGCTGAAGAGTATCTTACATATTAGCCCATCACCACTTAAAGGACATTATGGTTTTTTTTTTTTTTTTTTAATGCAAAATGTATGTTTTGTTTAAGTGAAAATATTGGCGTAGCTGCACAAACATTACTCCCACGAACACACAGTCCTGTTCCTGGACCACGGTGAATCCTGCATCCACACCGGCTTCTCTGCTTTGTAGACACCACACACACGCCAGACATCAGCGGCCAGTGTGGTCACATCAAACTGCATCTACCACTCACATAAAACATTAGAAAAAAGTTAGCTTGTTTCCAGAAACAGAATCAATCATATCTACAGAAAATACCCTGTGGTATACTTTTACAAAAATCTGGTTTTTTTTTCCCCCCTTTTTTTCTTTTTTCTTATTTTTGTGGAGCCAAACAAACACAAAAACAAACCCTTTCTCTCTGAAATAAATGAAGTACTCAATGCGTCACACCAGTGGAGGCAGGGCACGGAGCTTGCCCCACCCCCACCCCACACAAATACCAGCTGTTTCTGTGCACTTCCGGGTGTTCTATAAACAAAGCTACCAGAGAGACCAACCTCTAAGAGTGGCTGAGCATGCCGGGAAGGTGCTCTACCACTGAGCAACATCCTAGCTCTCTTTTCACTTTTTTGTTTTGAGACAGGGTCTGGCTCAGTCACCCAGGCTATCCCTGAACTCTCTCTGCAGCCCACGCAGGCCTTGAACTTGCAGTCTTCCTCAGAAGCCTCTACTGAGCATCAGTTACAGGATGAACTGCAGGACCCAGAGTAAAACTCACAGAGGTCTCAGCAGGGGCTCGTTTACTTAAGGAGTGTTTTGTTTTGGTCTCTGGTTGTCAAAACGGATTTTTTTTAGAGTGACTTTAGACCATTTCCCCTTTTACTCAGATAGACTAAAGGAGAACTGTTTAGATTAAGTTAAATAAAAACAGTAATAGTCTCTGTATTTTCTAAGTGACCCAAGAGTGACAGGCGTGGCCAGATGGCAGCAGGAGTCAATGCTGAATTCTTGGTCCAGGCATCCGAAGTCTCCAGGGCTCTGGTTTCCATCTGATTCCATGATCTCCTGGGGGATGGGCTTCTGAGCACTCACTAGATGTTTCCAAGGACCCCTTTCAGGGAAGGGTCTTCTGTAACAGCCCAACTGTGTATACGAAGATCTTATAACCAGTATCAAAATGGAATCTGGCTTGAGTAACAGATGTGAACACAGCAGCTCAGGCTGTGAACGGCTCCGCTGTTCATAAGGTCGTGATTCCAAGGGAGGAGCCGCTTGTGTACGGAACAGCCGGGAATGGGCAACTGGGAACCATGGTGGGTGGCTAGGGACGGTCCACAAGTACAAAAAAATAAAATGAGCTCTTCCCCTCTGGGAAGCTGAACTAAAATTTTCGTCAGACTTTTAAGTCCCAAACTTCTTTCAAAGCAAACTGAATTCTGTGTTCAGCATAGCAAAAATATTCCCTTTTGGGTTTGAGCCACATGCCCATTGACTTCATGATAGAAACTGTAAAAAATATATAAAAAATATTCCCCAGTCAACTTCATATCTTGCAAGTTTGGAGTCTCTTAGAACTCTTCAAGAAAGCCACTGCTGCAAGAGAAGACAAGAAAAAATGTAAAGCTGTAATAAAAGGGAAACATGCCACAAGCTGATCTGCCTGAGGATGCAAACCACAGGAAAGCTGTGATCCCTCCTCACCCCAGCTGACCACATCTCACTTCTCCCTTCCCCATCACACCTTCCTTCCAGAATTTAGTCTAAGGATGTTTAAGTACCACCCATGCAAAGGACCCTGTCACAGGGGTCACCTAAGACCATCCGAAAACACAGATATTTACATTACAGTTCATAACAGTAGCAATATGACAGTTACGAAGTAGCAATGGAATAATTTTATGGTTGGGTCACCACAACATGAGGAGCTGTATTCAAGGGTCGCAGCATTAGGAAGGTTGAGAGCCACTGTCCTGGAGTCTGAGAACCAAGGAAACAAGACCGTTTTCATACCAGCTCCCCCTGTGATCCCTGCTTCACGTCTCCAGGGAAACAGGCTCTTACGTCCTGCCCTCAGCTGCCAGCCACTATCAAGAGCTGCAGAAGGATGACCTCAGCCATACTTAGAAAATGGCTTTTCCTCCAATTGACAGCTTTATACCGTTTTATTCTGAAGACTGAGATAGCCCAAGGCAGGACTGAAATTCTAAAGATGTCACTGTATACTGAAACACGCATCCTGTGCAAGAAACCTATGCAAGGTTCAGGAGCAAAGCAGTTTCTTGTCTACCACACGTTTGCTGTCTACCACACGTTTGCCTATAAACACTGAACAAAAAAGCAGAGGCTAGCTTGCAGAACCATGAAGGACTAACAAGAGTTAGCTGCTAAGTCTTAGTTTAAGAACATACTATTAGCTGGGCGGTGGTGGTGTACCCCTTTAATCCCAGCACTTGGGAGGCAGAGGCAGGCCAGCCTGGTCTACAGAATGAACTCCAAGACAGTCAGGGCTACATAGAGAACCCCTGTCTCTAAAAACAAACAACAACAACAAAAGCATATTGTTTACAAGGCAGGTCTGGGGGCACAGATTTATAACCTGAGCCAGAGAGTGTGGATAACACAGTAAGTTCAAGACCAAACCAGGCAGCTTAATGAGACCCAATGAAAGGTAAAGAGACCTCAGGGGAGAAGCATTTGCCTAGCATGTGTAAGGCCCCGGGTTTGATCCCCAATAACTATCATATGGGGGAGGGGAGGAGAAAGAGAGGAAGGAAGGGGAGGAAGAAGAGAGGGAGGGAGGGGAGGAGGACAAAAATTTACCCTTTAAGATATGTACTCTAAGATGATCCATTATTTTAAAGATATATTTATTTTTATTTTATATGATGAGTGTTTGCCGGAATACATGTTTATATGTGGAGCTGGTGCCCATGGAGGGAAGGAGAGGGTTAGATAACCAGGAACTGAAGTTAAGGATGGACACAAGCCACGCTCAGAACTGAACCCAGGTCATCTCCAAGAGCAGCTAGTGCTCTTCACCACTGAGCAAGGAAATAAAGTTAAAACTATATTAGAATTTTAGGGCATTACCCAGGAACTATGTACTGGGCTGTTTTTATGTCTCCTCTTTAAAGTGACATTTTTATATCCAGGAAAGTAACAAAGTCCAGGGCAAGGAGGTCAGGCCTGGAATGCAAAATTTCATCAGAGTTAAGAGGGTGTGGTAACTCATGCTTGTAATTCCAGCAGTCAGAAAGCTGAGGCAGGAAGACTGCCACAAATCTGAGGTCAACCTGGGCTACAGAGACCTTGTCTCAGAGAGAGAAAAGGGAAAAAGAAAAAAAAAATCACTACAACCCAGAATTCATCACTAAAGGAACCATACAGTAGATTCCACTGACCTCTAGGGGTGGGCACTCAAGACCCAGGGTGGCCAACGAGAGTGAAGAGAAGAGACAGAGGCCTCGATTCCAACCTAGATCCTTAGCTCAAGCTGCTGAAGGGGTGCCGTCCTCTGGCCTCTCCAGCAGGGTCACTGGGGTTTGATCTATACTGACACTCGGCTCAGCATGGCACCCAGCAGTCAGGTCAGCATCAGGTCCTTTGGCGCCATCCAGTTCCCTGCTCTAAACCATTTTTTGTTGGCGTTCTTCAACAGCGCTGTCTCCACAGCTGACTAAAACTGCCCTGTGCAGAACAAGGATGTGGAAAATCCACACTGCTGTTTAGAGACCTCAGACACCACACGCAAATATGGGAAGATGCCCTGACAAGAGCCCGTACAGTCTGGTCTTTGCTCACTGAACGGCAGCTTTGAGCTTCCAGGTGAACACCTGCCTCATCAGAATGATAATTTAGAGGGGGATGTGGGGGAGACACCACACAATCACAGATGTGTCCGGCCGACAGGCCAGAAGCCACAGGCAGCTCTATCCAAGGATGGCTATGGATGGTCCAACATAAAATCATACACTTCCTTAAACATCAAGAGGGCGTGTCCTGTCTTGTTTTGGGTACCATTCTCAATTATGGGTTGTGTCAACACCACCACGCAATGTCAAAAGGTTGGACACACCCAGCATGGCTTGCAAAGGTCCAACTGTGGTCCACTCTGTGGGGGAAATGAGGGACCTAAAAGATGCAGACTGCATTCATCATGTTTTAACAACACCAAATTCTTTCCATATGTTATTCGGTGGGAACGGATCCTTACCGGCAAACAAACCCACTCTGAATCAGCACTTCTTTACCACTAGAAACCAAGGAAAACGTTCAAGGTGCTTTCCACACTGTCCAACAGAGACCAGAGTCCCGTGTAGCTGCCGCAGGAGCCTGAAGAGCCCAACAGGAATGGGCAAAGGGCAGAGGAAGGAAATGTGTGCTGTAGCTCATAAGCTGCCTGGCTTCGGGGAAAACGTGATCACAGATTTAGACAAATAGATGCTCAAACTGGAAGAGATCGAGCAAGACTCTGCTGCATGGAAAACAAGCCAGAAATCCTAAGAAGAACCACTTCCCTCACCAAACAAGACTGGTGGGAAGAACGAAGGACTTCATTCCCTAAAGACTCACCGGAAGCAAAGGAAAAGATCGCCAGTTCTCTGAAGCTTGTAGCATATATATGTATGTATATATGTATGTGTATACACACACATATCTTAGTTGTAAAGACGACAGCATAATGACAATATCAAACAATAAGGCATAGCTCACAGAATTGAGCCTCCCTTGATGGATACACTTAAAATTCTCTCTAGTGGCTGGACATTAAGGAAGCTACAAGGAACAGCTTCCAACACTATCGTCCCACCTCTGCGTGTTATCTACAATTGAGATTCTTGGGTCAGAGTCCACCTTTAAATTTCTGCCATTTCTAAATGGCCACCACAAAGATCTCTATCAGTAAGGCTCTCTGTGTGATTCTCGCCAACTGCCTTCACCCTCTGAACCAGTGGCCAAGTTAACTGCTGGCAGCCAGACACGGTGACACGTACTTATAATCCCGGCACTCAGGACTCAGAGGCAGGAGGATTGCTACAAGTTCAAGGCCAGTCTGGGCTATAGAGTAAGAATCTGTCTCAAAAAACACAAAATAGAACAAACAAAACCAATCAGTTTGACTGGGGGGGGGGGGTCTCATTCCAATATGTTCATCCAGATTAATTATTCATTCAGTGTCCTCTTGGACCTCAGAAGACTCTTTGGATGTGAGTTACATGGTCAGGCTCATGTTCACATCCATCTTCGTTAAAAGAAAGACAAAGATGAAGCCTTTTGAATTTCATTACTAAGAAAGATGGGTTCTGTGTGTGTGTGTGTGTGTGTGTGTGTGTGTGTGTGTGTGTGTGTGTCTGTCTGTCTGTCTGTCTGTCTGTCTGTCTGCTGTCTCTCTTTCTCAGACAGGGTCTCACTGTACAGCCCTGGCTGGCCTGGAATTCACAGAGATCCCCCTGCCTCTGCCCTCTAAGTACTGTCATACTCTACCATTCTCACCCTAAATCGGGCATTTTTCATATTCACTGATCACTGTACTTTCAACAACACATAGCACCCAGATTGTGATGAGGGGGTTAAGTAATTAAAACCTTAACTTTTAAATAGCAGTAGGGAGCAAGTGTTTACATACTTGGATTAGTTTGGGAGGAAAAAAAAGCACTTATAAATTTTTTTCCATTCAAAAATGAAATTAAAACAAGCAAACAAACAAAACCTAACATGGACATCAGTGAATATTCCTGCAAATTCTATTTGTCTTCTTTTCTGGATAATGTCCATGAGAAATCAAGCCTTATCAGAGCCTCAGCTTCTGGTGCTTTGGCCATTCTGGGAAGTCTGCAGGCTGTCCTGAACTGGGTTATACCCTAGTGGCAAATCACGTACTTAGCAACGCGAGCCTACTCAAGCGATGAGAACTGGGCACTTAAGATTTACCAGCCCTTGGACAAGTGAAACTCAGGGAGGAAATTACACTATGTGACATGCCACTGGTGTCTAGGTGGCTCTGCACCTGGAGGAATAAGGATTGAACAGTCCTCAGAGTCTCAGCTCACCTCTGACCTCAGGCTCCACTGAGCTACCCTTGGACTCCCCAAGGTCTGTCTTTTGGGCCTCCAGAGTCCCTAAGCCTCTGGTCCTCCAGAGTTTGTGGTGAACAGAGCAGATACTGTGGCCCCTTTTCTGTGTCTTGTCAGGGCTAAAGGGAAGGACAGATGAGCTCTCTATGTGGCAATTCATGGTCAGTTACAGAGCAGGGCCTAGCACAGGCCTACCCACGAGATGGCTTGCTTTGCTGGCAACAAAACAAAAACTTCTGGTCTCTCAGATCCTCTGACCCAGAAAACACTAGTAATGTGTCTCAGGATCTTCTGTGAATAGGAGCAACCTGTTGAAGAAAGGCTTAGGAAGAGCGCTGACATGGATAACCCCAAACTCCCAGATGATGGCCGTAACTACCGGGAGGGATCTACCTCCAACGATAAAAGACAGTGTTAACGGCAGCCAGCGTGTGCGAGCACAGCCATGGCTCCAGCAAGGTGGAGGGGAAGACTGGCTTCTTCTCACGTACCTGTCGGCAGAGGTCCAGCTGCTCAACA